ATCAAAGTTTGGATGGATAAACACAATTTTCATCAGGTTTAATGAGATGGGCAATCCAGGTATAGGAAACAGTATGTGCAAAGACAGCGAGGCATGAAGCAACATAGTGTGTTTGGGAAATTACAAGCCACTTGATATGGCTGGAGCACAGAATGTAAGGTGAGCAACGAGAAGGTATTTCACTGGAGAGACTACAGATTCCCATGTAACTGAAAACGTGCATTTGTGTTTGCCGATGATTACGTGTGTCTACTGTCTTTCCCTAATACATCAATCAGTCTGTAGCGGAAGCAAGAGTGACACACATATTTATTATATGATTTCAGTTTTGCTTGAATTTATCACCAAAAATATCCCTGACTCTGATTGTATTTGTTATAGTCCCTTAATACTTTCTTCTTTTTACTCATTTTCCTCTGTAACCTAGTTATCCAGATCCCTTCTCCCTTATATTAGCTCTTCCTATATTGATCGGAATCCATTGACAGCCTCATAGGTCATCCTCTTGTCTAATGTCAAGCAACTTCACTTCAGAACTAAGCCCAAATGACCTTCAGGACCAAGCTTAAATGACCTTCAGAACCAAACTCTGAGAAGTCCTCCTGCCTAAGCACCAAGTTAAGAATTAAGAATTTAGACTTTGAAGCCTGGATGTCTCTTCCCCATCTTTGTATCAATGGACCAGTCATTTTTCTTCTTCAAGCCTCACTGTCCTCATCTGTAATAAGGGTGATGAATACTTCAGGGACGACACATGAATATTAAAGTGTGTAATAAATGTAAAGAATTTCACCGAGACTCTGGCCCTTGATAGTTATTGCTAATTATATATTCAAAGTGTCTAGTGATTGCCATGCCGAAGTCATATATACACACAGGGTGATTTAATTTGGTAGATATTTACCTTGACTCTATCTGCTTCTCTGGAAAGCTGTGGGAAGCAGTGCTGCTGCGTTACACAACTCCAATTAGAACGATGCCCCCTGGGGTTGTGCAATATGGCTACTCTGAGAAGGCAAAGACAGGAGGCTTTTCTCTGCAGTTTCTTTCTATAATCGGAATATTTTAACTTCATCAATAAATTATTTTAATGTTTCAAAGTGGCAATAGGGTCTGTGGATTTTTTTTTAATTTGCTTGAACTCTATTTTGTACTGTTACTTAAAAATAAAACTAAACCAGCAATATTGTCTTCAAGAAACCCAGAATTTTATAAATCAAGCCAGTCTATAACAGTAAGGATTTTTGGAGGTCAGTCAAAAAGTATGTTGACAGAAAGAGGGGTGTGCACAGGCTCACAGATTCACTAACTATGTTACAAAGTCTTGTTAAATTGTCTTTCTTTATATTGGTAAGGGAGCTAATAAACTCAACTACACTAGGTAGTTTCTGGTATCCACATCACATACTGGACATGGAAAGTACCTAGCACAATATCTGGCATGTGGTGGCGTCTCGATTCATGGAACTGTGACCATATTTCATTATGTGCTAGTTCCTGACTTAAGCCTGGTTAGAATGAAGATACTGGTTAAAACTGATAAGTTAGGGGTTGCTATTAGGATTGGTAGTTAGAGTCCTTAATAGATTAAGGTTAGGATTAAAATTAGAATTCAATTAAGGTTAGAATTAAAATTCGTACTGAGGTTATTATTAAGGATGCAGTTAATTAAAACTGGGTAATAGAACTAAAAAGCAGTACGCCAAGTACTGGTTTAGTTGGGTGGAAAATTGAAGAAGAAAGCAATGCAAGAACCTGAGTAGGATTTACTGATAAAAGTCACAGAGAGGCAAAGGGTTAGAGTTCAAGATAGAATGTGAGTGGTTGCTGAGTCAAGTCTTCTGGCAATATGATATTTTTCCCCAGACAGGTGCTGCCATTCTGTCCCAGATGAATATGTAAAACTCACCCCACACAAGCTGAGTTCCTTCTCTCTCTCCTTTGAGCAGAAGCTGCGTGGGGAAAGGAATGCCCAGGGCCCACACAGCTGTGTCTAGCCCAGCGCCAGTGCCAGTACCAAATTCCACACCCCCAGCTACCCAGGCTGTTGCTGAGTGGACAAGGGAATCCAGGAGGCCAAGCCTGCCCTCTCTCCACTCCCTTTCTCTTCTTGGCTACCCGCAATTTCACTGTAGCTACCAGTTCTGTAACCCCACAGACAATCTAGCCCAGACCTTGTGTAAGTCTCTGGGAAATGCATATTGCATGTCATAGTATTTTAGAGTGGAGGGTAACCATAGAGATCACAATCCATTTTACCTATTTTTATGATAGGGATAATTCGCAGGTGAGTCTTACTTTGTAAAGGCCTATTCCCATATGAATGACCTGCCTGTAGGATGCAGGGGCTATATGCAGGCAGGGCATAAAGATGACAAGCAATGGGTTATTCCAAATGGAATCGCCCCCATGCAGGAGAAACTACAATTCTGTGGTAAACGGGATTAGGGAATTCTTCAAATTGGATGTTGTTCTCAAATGTGAAGACTGATTCTCTTTATCCTTCTTCCCTCCAAAGAGTACTATCTGTCCCTCATCCAGTACTGTTCGCCCCTTTACTAGGTAGTGTCTAAGCACAAGAAGTCACTTAGCTTCTGAGCTTCATGTTCCTCATCTGTTCAGCAAAGATCCTTATTAACAAGATAATCTTGAAGGTCCTTTGCAGCTCTAATACTTTTTTATTCTATAATTCTAAAAGCCAATGACAACTTCCTATTCCCAAGACCTAAAAGGCTGCCAAACTGATGCTGACAGTGCAGAAAAGGGAAGAGGAGTCAGTAGGAAAAGAGCATTCCAGAGACTCATTTGCAAGCCTTAATACTCTCTTTCTCCCTCTCCAAAACAGCTTCTCTTCTTCCCTCTTATCCCTGGTACACTTGTCTCTCACTTACAGTAGAGGGTGTGGCCAGATCAGCAATCAAGAGAGAATTAAGAAGAGGCAGAAGGGGATCACTGTGATGTAGCAGATGGAAAAGATGATTAATTAGAGAGCTTTGGGACTTAATCCTACACCCCCGCCCCACTTCACCCATCCCCACTCCTTTTTAACCTTTCCTCTCTAAAACCCACTTAGGTGATCTCTGACATTTCTTCTAACTCATTAAGACCTTTAACTCGAATAGCCTTATCCTTCCCACCAAAGCTAATATTTTTTAAAAGCAACCTCATTTCTTTCTTTTGTTAGCATGACTAACCTCATGCCAGCCTGGTTCTACCTTCATCAAAAAGTCTAACTTTCCTATAATCTCCTCCTACCTCTAGTCCAGTCTCTTCTCTCTCTTCTACCCAGGTCTCTGCATCCCTGTAATAAACACTACTCTCTTAATCTTCTCACATGTCAGATTTGAAGATATTAGAGACCCCGGGAGGTAAGTAATTTGGAGTCACCAAGATAAGTCAAATCAGACAAATAAGAAAATCAAAGATGTTCTGTACTGTCCTACAAGAAATAATCACCATTCGAACCCTCAAGAAATATTCAAGGGGCAAGCAGAGCTCTTCTAAACTCTAGAAACAAAAAACAGCAGACCAGTTGCAAGATTTCTCTGAACACTATTCTCTCAACCCCAATATCACTGACCATCATTTTTATATGGCTTACTAGATGTCAGATATGGTCTGTATGCTGTCCTTGGGTTCTTAGATGACCGGCATTAAGTACATTACCACCAAAAGTTAAGAAAGCTTGGCTTAGAGAAAGCAAGATTAACACTGAAGATCAGCACAAGAAGGTACAGTCAGCAGAGTGAAAAGATGAGCAGGAGTTAGAGGCGCCCAAATCCCGCTTCTAGAGAACAAAACACTAGTGGTTTGGGTGTTGGACAATAATGTGAAACTATAGTCTTCCATATCTTGGCCAGCGCTGTGTCTTCTGCTACTTAAGTAAATATAACCTGGCTTAGGTCTGGTAGCTTCCTCTGGGTGAGATCAGATATTATCTAAGGACTCAACATAGTTGAAATTCCTTGAATTTAGGATTCTAAAATTTAGAAGTTTATTCTCCAAAACTAAATTTCAACGAAACCAACTCAGAAAACTCCTTCTCTGAGAGGAACCAAAATAGTTTCAGAGACAATCACAAAGAACAGCAAACACTAGGGAATTGGGACTCTTGCGTGGAGAGCCAGTGCAAACACAGGGCTGCTTGCATCCATCTCCTATATAGCCTCGGAGACTAAGGCTGCATTTGTCACAGATGCATTGGTCTTTAAGAGGGTTCGTGGATCGGACTTCCACCCAGGAGTCTTACTTTTTAAAAGTTGAATAAAAAAGGTAAGACTCTTTGAAAGATTAAGGAGAATATCAAGGGGTGGGGGGAGGCTTAAGAGTGAGCACTGAGGCAGAAAATACAGAGATACTTTGTAGTATGTTTCCCTAGTCTAAGGTCTAAGATATTTTCTTAGAGGAGGGCTTGAGAGAGATTGGTTCCCATGGCCTGGGGTCTGCTGAAGAGGCTTCTCAAAAGAGGTTGCCCCAGCCACAAGTTGTTGCTGGAGAGATAACTAGAGGGTCCCAAGTAAGAACTAAGGATGCTATTGATTTGAAGAATGGTTTGGGTAACTAGGTGCCCTGGGGACATACCCCTAGGCACACTGTTGATAGGGGGTGTCCTAGCTTTTGGGATTCCCAATTGCCTAAGGAGAAGGCAGGGCCTGAGGAGCTCAGGATAGTGGGCACGCCCTGACCCAGGCCTGCAGTGGCCGCTCTAGCCAGCCGGCCCACCGCCCTGCCCGAGTCCCCTCTCTCTTCCCCTAGCCTAAGAGGGGTGCTCCTGGGGTCCCACTGCTGAGCCAGCTCCCTCCCTCTGCTCCACACCCGAGCAGCTCTGGCGGAGCTCCCGGGGGTGAAGATGGAAAGCACCATCAATGCGCGGAAGGGGTGTGGGAGGCGGGAGGAGTGGGGAATGCGGCAGCCTGCGCCCCCCCCACCTCGCGACCAGCCCAGCCCCCCGTACCCCCCCTCCACCTCCAACAGAATGGTTTGCTCCGAGCGCCCTATTTAATCCCGGCGACTGCAGCAGCGCCGGCTCCCTCCCGGTCCCCGCCTCGGCCCCGGGCTTGGAAGCGGCGGGGGGCGCCCTTTCGGACAGCGACAACGTCTATCAGGTCTCCCCAGCCCCAGTCCCTGGAGATCCAGGTTCGCCCGAGCCCAGCCAGGGAGGCGGCCGGGAAGCGCCATGGGGGCCCCTTCCGCCCTGCCCCTGCTCCTGCTGCTCGCCTGCTCCTGGGCACCCAGCGGGGCCAACCTCTCCCAGGACGGTGAGTGAGGGAGGGGGCGGCGCCTGGGGAGGTGGCGAGTGGCCCGAGGCGGGGGTTCCGATTGGGAGCCAGTCGCTGGGAGCCTGTTGGCTTTGTTTGGAAGCAAGGGTTCAAGTCGCCAGTCTCTTGTAATACCCTTGTGTCTTGTCTCTGAGCATCACTGTCTCTGAGGACCGTGGGGTGTGCCGGCGTGTACAAGGTCCTCCTGGGTACACGGTCGAGTGTGTGTCTGCGTGTGCAGCCGGGGTCTGGATCTCAGGGACTGATGTCTATTTTGAGCAGCTAGGGTCTGGATGTGTTGATGTCCGTGTGTGTCTGGGTGTGCGCGTCTGTGTTGGTGTCTGGTGCTGCGTTTCTGTTTCAGTATCTGTGTGTATGTATGTCTGTGTCAGTGTGTGTTGGGGGCGGAGTGAGATTTGTCGCTGTTTCAGTCAGGGCGTGTGTCGGGTGTTTGTGTATGTATGTCTGTAAGGGTTGGGTGGCCAGAGCAATCCCCCAACTGCTGTATGCAAACATTTCTGTTCCCCCGCTCGTCCCCACCCGCGGCGGAGCTCCGAGTGGGCAGGGAAGGGAACCTGGGTGAGGCTGTCTAGGGGGGCGTGGGCAAAGAAGAGGGGGCTTCTCCTTGGAGCAAAACAACAACAGGGGGCGGAGGGGGCCCCAGTTTGGCTGTAATCCCAGCGGTGGCAAAATCTGGGAAAGAAAACCCAGACTTGGGTGGGAGAGAGCAAAAGGAAAGAACAAGATCTTTGGGGAGGAGTATCTATGGGAAACTCAAAGCTTTCCTGGACTGAACATTAATTTCCCCAAATTGAGGGTGGGGTAGCATACCTAGCCCCTTTACCCCAGTCTGCAACTCAACCCTTCTGGGGTTTCTAAAGATATGAAGGAAGGGAATGGGAGGGTGGGGGTGGAGAAAGGAGGCGGGGCCAGGGGAGAGGGGACTTGGTGAAGAGCCCCTCCCGCCCCAGGCCAGGCTATGTAGGTCAGCGCTGTGGGGGCACCTCAACCTCTTGAAGGCTGCTGGTGGTTAATGGGGTGGCTTGGGGGAAGTATGTAGGAAGACCAAGAAGGGCGCCCCAGCTCTGTGCCTCAGGTCCCTGGAGGAGGGGGCACTGGCTGGGAAGGGACTAAAGGAATGCATCCTCCTGCTCTCTCACTCTGCCTGTCAGAGGTGGGCTGGGGGGGTGGAAGGGGAACAGGACCTCTCTGCGGAGCAAGGGGGAGAGAGGAGAGTGGGGGGAGGGTGGTGGCTATGCCCGGCCAGATGCCAACGAAAAACAGAAAGAACCGCAGGGGAGGAGAAAGGGGAGGCGGTTCCTGGGCGATGGACCCAGTGGCCAGCAGGGATGGGCACAGGGCGGGGCGGGGTGGAGAGGGGAGGGGTTGGAACTGGGAAGGATGATGTAGAGAATTTCATCTGAGGAAAGCAGGCTAGGAGCCAGGGTGCTGGAAGAATTAGAGCTCCACCTTGCCTGACCTCCTCCCCCTAGGTCCTGTCTCTATCCTGGTAAAGGAGCTTCCCCTGGTGAGAGGACCCTGGGGATCCCTTCTCTCCAGTTAGCTGGCTGACTGCTTCTATGCTGTACTCCCCAAACTCCCCAAAGGGAATTCTTACTGTCACCACAGAGATAGCAATCCCTTCACTCTTATATATGGAATCCCCTTCCCCAGAGGCCTACACTGATGACCCTTCTCGCTGAGGAGGTGAGCAATACACACAAATACAGGTGAGCAGTGCAAGGCAAAGACAGGCTTCTGGGTGTTTGTGCCTCAGTAATGACCCTCCTATAAGGCCTTGACTTTTGGCTGCAGACCCTAGCCTCTCCATAGTGCTGGCTGAGGTAAAGAAACAAGTATCATTCAAACTATAGTTCTTTGAACATGGGAACCAAGGTGCCAACCTCAGACTTAAAAAGGGAAAAAGATCATACAGAAAGCATCAAGCTCTTCTGCTTTAGGATGTATAAATGGCAGAGACTGGAGTAAACCTGTTCACTAACTAAGCCTTCCTTCATTAACTGCACTATTCTTTCTTGATCTTCAACTTGGGAACCCAGTCTCCATTCAAGCTTAAAGTTCACAGAAAGAGAATTGCTCTATGCTCATCTTTAGAAATGTGTATTAGAGCAGCAGATTGGGGGACAGAACGAAAGACAAAAACTTTTGAATGGGGAATTGAAGAGAATATGACAAGAAGAGGATTAAGGGTTACGATTTTGTTTCCAAAGAGAAATCAACTCAAGCCTCCCTTTGCTTATGGAACATCATGCCTGTGAAGAGTGCACATCTGTCTAGAGTGTAACATCTCAGAATGCACAGATGTTTGAGACAAAACCACCATGTAGTCTATCTTAAATTAATTCTGTATCATAGTTTCTGGGTCTAAGAAGATGAGCTCTAATGATGGGAGGTAGCTGTGTGTTCCTAAAGACCACACTGACTAGGATCATGAAGAAGGTTTGCCTAGTACTCCTGGGTTGGCCTGGGGTTCCTGGGCATGGAGATAAGTAATACATGTTTCAACCTGCCATATTTGAGCCAAATTAGGAGAGATATGGTGTGAAGATTGAAAGACAAAGTGTTCCAGTACACTGTTCAATTGGTCAAGGGTACTATGATCGGGCAGTTAATTCCATTTAGAAGAAAACAAACTTCATGTGTTTCTAGGGTGTATAGCTCCCCTGAGTACAGCATAAATTTTTTAAGCCTCATAAAGATGAGCAGGGATTGAGAAGATAGAAAAGGGCAGGGCAAGTAAATGCTATCTGAACTTGGCTATTAGTGCCTTGGCCACAGGCTTAGGAATTTGCTACCTGTTCTCCCTTCTGGTATTTCTCCACTAGTATTGGCAGAAGTTGGCTGCTCCAGATTTCAGGAGTACAAGGCCTGTGAACTTAGTGCACCCTGTGGTCTTGTCTCTGGTGAGCAGCTTGACATTCAGCATTGTGATCAGCCGCCTTAGGGTTCTTCCTTCCCAAGTTATTTTCAGTACTATGATTTAACCTAGTGGATGTACGGCCTTGCTTTGCTTCAGCCCAGGTTATAGCAACTTCGCCTTGTAATTTTTCACTGTCCCACACATGCATATCTTTTCCTTCCCAATGACCTTCTGTCCACTGCTATGTGTTCTGCAGCCCCCTGGCCAGATGCCCAGTGTGGAGTTCATGCCCAGTGTGCCAGAGAAGTCCCGCATTCACTCTAGTGCTGCCCACGGATCTGCTTGGCAGATCTACTCCACTGAGTTTCAGTTCCTTGCTGTAGCCATAATGGTTCTGTTCTGTTTTCATGCCCAATCTCTTCCCAGTTGCAGGTATAACTCTTAGGAAGGACATGTCTCCTTTCAGACTTGCACATCTTCTAGCACAGGGAAAATAAGCTCACCAGAAAAACACTGAAGTGATAGAGTTTGGTTGATTCAGTGAAATCTGTCTAGTGCAGGATGTCCAATGTCTATTCAGCAGTTATGCCAAATATTCTGTCCTAAGTTCTACTTAAACTTAGGTGGTACAGCTGCCTTTGATGGTTTCCTCTGGACCCTTGTCTCTCACTCAATAAGGAAAGAAGACCGTAGGAGAGTTGTGGACAATCAGAAGTCAGACTTCGTCACCTTTCTTCCCATGTTGGCTTCTTGATCCTTGGCCTCCACAAAAAGTCAGATGAAGGAGCTTACTGCCATAAGGCCTTTTCTCCTTCCTTTTCCAACTAAGGAAGAAAGAAGGACCAAGTCTAATTTCAAGAGTGTCATATCAGAGATATTCAGCATTCACTTGGAATGGGTGACTCACAGCCATAAAATCCCACAGATGGCATCTTTTTGGTGTTCTGGTCACTTTGAAATAGCAGTTGGAGTAGCCAGGCTATTGCTCTGTAAGTCTTCATATTTGATTTAGGTATTCCTTGTTGCTACAGTGCTTTCCTGTAGCTCAAATTGCATGTAGAATAGTATTAAAAGCTGTTTTTCCTTAGATCATGTGGTAGGAAAAAAATCTTCACAGTTGTCATAAGAGAAATAAAACCCTTGGGGCTGTGCCTAGTCACATTCTTCACTATTTCCTACTCCAGTGGGATTGTCTACTGGCTCAATAATCCATTTTTATCATCTAATTCTGTCATGAAACTTTATCTAAGGATGGCAGTCAAGACTCCATTTCTCCTTGAAGAAAGTGAGCTTTTTACTGAATGAAAAATCTGGGGTATTAGAGAACATGGGTGATTATATATCCTGCTTAAAATTTTTTCTTTGCAGTTTTGGGGACTAAACCTGGAGACTCATGTATGTTAGCCAAGCTCCTTACTACTAATCTTCACCCTGTCCAAAAATCTTCTTTTATTTTTCTTGTTAGAATCTAATCTTTCCTGTTTAACCATTGGCTACAGGGCATATAGTAGAACATTTTGCTTCCTGTAGGAGGTCCTGTTCTAGAGGTCCACTGATAGGCTCTGTAGATAGCAATCCCTGTGGAAATGCTGAGAGAGAGAGAGAGTGAGGGAGAGAGAGAGACACTATAAAAGCTGAAATGCTGAGAGAGAGAGAGAGAGAGAGAGAGAGAGAGAGAATATAAATGAATCACAAAAAGAGCCTGGAGAAGAAAGCCAGTAGGAAAAGATTCAAGTCTTTAAGAACACAGTTAAATTAAGGATAAACACTCTATAGAGAAGAACAAGCCTCCAGGGCAAAGACCTGTCTCCACTGCCAGGTCAGCAGTGGTGATAATTCTTTATAAGGTCAGAAGTAGCTGATAGTCAGGGATCTTATAATTATGCAAGTAAAAACCCAATTCAGTCCTGTTGTATATGACAAGGAGATCCATCCATTCTAGTCCTGAGAAGCCAAGCTCTTAAGAGTCATGAACACATGAAACTGTTGAGATTTTTGCACTAACAATGGCTCATTTAAATGACGCACTCTCTATTGAACCAGAAATTTTGAAGAAAGAATAACTTATCCTTTTACCAAAATTTCCCTAAGTATAAAAGGCAGGGCCTAAATTTCTCAAGTGCAACAGAGAGTTCTACTATGATACTACCCTTCTCAAAAGGTTTGACGTCATGCCTCTTTTCTATGTACTATCAAATACAAACTATTTATGGAAAAATATGCTTATCAGAATAATTGGGCAGGCCATAGAATCTACCTGATGGTGATACACAATTTGGTTTCCTCATATCCTAGTATTTCTGAGCTAGTCACAGACTCTGTGTGCTATTTCCTTCATTAGAGGATGATACTAATTGTATAATGAAAAGTTGAAGCAGTTAAAGCCTATTCCATCACCACTGTCACCTAATATTTGGCTAATATTCACAACCTAAGTCTGGTGGTGGTCCTCACAGTCTTTTGGGTGTATATCTGACAGATCCAAACAAAACTCTTCAAGGAAGCCTTTAGAACACATGATGAGTATAGCATCCTAACATAAGCCTTTTGTTAAACTTTGTGGGCATTAAAGCTGACTGTCTTAACTTGTGATGTCAATTCCCATGCCCTTTTTAGAACAAACTACCTGTATTTTGAGCTCTCCGTGGTGCTAGCCCCTCACCGTGACATGCCAGGCTCTTCTTGTTGCTCTCCATGGTCCTGCTCTATCTTGACTTTTCATAATCTCTTTACTCTCCCCGGGGCAGCATTCACGACAGGCTGGCATTCCCCTCCCGCCTGTCAGAAACACAGTCGTGGTCCTGGTTATGGCATCTAATGTATTAAAATTGAAACAAAACCCTGGGATAGAGATCTGAAGAGTCCTTACGACCAATGAGCTGTAGGAAGGAGACAGAAAAGTAATTCTCTGGTTATGGAAATACATTTTAAGATGATCAGAAAACCAGGGCCTATATGGACTCAAAAGAACTGAATGTTTTGTTATATCTGGACTCATAGATTGAAAACAGAACTGCAGGTGCTAGTGCTTTAAATTGAGACAATATTGCTCATATACAATAACCATATATACTCTACAGATGTGGAATGTCAAATGAGTCCCCCTCAGTCATAAGCATGTGGCTCTCAATACCACCCTGAGTTTCATACATGCTTTAACTGTTCTGTCATGAAGCTCATTTTCCTTTCTCCCTCTACTTTAGCATTACAAAGACAATATGTAATAATGGGTTAACAATAAATAGTAGTGGAGAAACTCGGAACAATGTAAATATCAGGACTGTAATTAATATGGCCCTGAACATAACTACCCCATTTTAGGTCCAGGTCTTTGGCTGGCCATATCCTATTATGACTCTGCTAAACATCTGCCAATAACCTGAACATTAAGTGCCACCCTCTACCAGTCATTCTGTCCAACACATTACATCAAATCTGCACAATCTCCCTTTTCCCATACGTGTGAATGACCTAAAGAAGAGTCTAAGTGGGAAGGCAGGCTTCCTGAATAAATTTCCATGGTGCCTCCTTCATTTCCTCACTTGAAGCAAGAAGAAGTTTCATTCTTCAAGGGCAGGTAATGGGAGTGATTTATCTCTGTGAATGAGCCTTCTGGAAGCTAGGATTGGGGTTACTACAACAGCTGGAATATCTTACATCCACTCATTTCCCCGAGTCCCCTGTTCCAATGAAAAGCAGGCATGTTTCAGTACGGATTCAAATGCAGAGAGTCTAACTTTTTTCAGTGTCTTTCATCCTTGTGTGAACTCTTACATCTGGAATTCTTTATCCCTCTCATCTCTTTCCATTTTTCTTATGAAGTCCAGGAGAATAAGAAAATTAAATAGTATTTTTTAAAAATCTAAAATGTTGTGCTTGCTAAAGACATTTTCCCTACCCCCAACTAGACTTGCACTAGTTGTATATTGATTCTTAATTATAAGCACCTTTAGCTCATTTACTTCCAGTTCAGGGTCAAGAAGGTCGGGTGCATCACCTTGCCCTGGGGAGAAGAAAAAGAGATGGAATCTGATATCACAGGCATTCATCTATAAGACGATCATTACTTTCCTCTCTCTTTTCTTCACATAGTCTCAAATACTAGCAAATCAGGATAGAAAGCTAATACCTTCAAAGGTCGGGTGATGTTGAGAATATGCAAGACTTGGTTTCATACGTTTATTTTTCCTCTTCTATTCTCTGGCTCTCTGCTTCCAGTTCCGATTCTAGAGTTCCAGCCAAAGCCTCATTCAGGGTAAAATGCTCCTAAATGTGAACTAGTTTATCAAGCCTCTGATTTAAATATTTGATACTCTTTGGAAATCCAGAAAACTCTGATGAATGCATCAGTGACAGGTAGCTTGGAATTGATCACCTTGTTTATGCTTTAAAAAGCCCAAGGCCAAGTTCTTCCATTATAAAATGAAGGGCCAGTTTTACCATCTGCTCCTAACCATTTGTCACTCAGCAAATACGAAAATTACAGTGGGACAATGACACTCACTGTTGCTTACTGGTTCTTATACTTCTTCATGGTGAAATCTTTCCAAGGACATATTACATGTTTCCCCTCCAATCTGCATCCTCTAATCTCACACAAATATAAAAAACAGCATTGCTAAGCCCCTGAGCCTTCCATCTTTTCATTTATCCTCAACTGCTGCTAATGCCAACTCTTTTCTGGTTTTCAAGCCCTGGAGCCCAGTGTCAGTGACAGATGGACTGAGCTTCAGCCCTGGGGAGGAGAGGATTCTGGCCTTCTCCGGGGGAGTTTGAGCAGAAGAGACTAAATTCTGCTTTGGGGAGAAGCTCTGAATTTAAGCCATATGGTTTTCTGGAAGTAAGGGGTTCTGATTAATATGGGCATGCAAAAAGGGCTCTGTATCTGGGTCATAACAAATGTTATGTGTCTACCTCAGAAAAAAAGTAAATACAGGCATATGAAAAAAAAAAGAATCATAGTTTGTGGAAGGACACATGCTGAAGGAGAGAAAAGGATAACCAGGTTGAAAAACGCAAGCATCTTAGGGAGCAAAAATGAGACACAAGCACATCAAAGCTGAAATGCTCAAAGAAGAGGAGAAGAGATTGTTCTGTCAAAACAACATTATTTGCCATTTTGGAGACTGAGATTTGTAGACTTGGAAGAATGTGTCTGTTTCATGGAAAAGTTTAATTCCCAGCAAGGCACAAAAGGAGGCTAAGGTGCACTACTCTTAAAAATACAGACTTTAAAGTGAGAATGAAGGGGGTGGTAGACTAAATCTCAGTTAAGCTTAGGGGAATCAGGGAAGCTGGAGTAGTGTGGGTGTGTAGAGCGGAACACATTTTTCTTCATGTAACGCTCCTAACCGTTGCCCTGAACCTGTCATCCACACCCTGCCTGTGATCATCCAATGAAGAGAAACAGTAAAAACAAGTCAGGAAAATCAGAACTAGCCAGGATAAATGCTTTCTTACCTGCCTTCTAACAAATTAAACTTTTTTACAGCATTGTTATCCTACAATACAAAGCTGTCAGCCTGCAGTATCTAAAGCACAACCTAAACAGCAAAAAATGAGTTGGAGCTGATTAAGAAAGGGAATCCATCCATGCGTTCAGAGAGATACCAAGGTACTGCATGGGAACTACCAAGCAGCATGTTGGAAGATGGACTGAGATCTCTCACCCTCAGGAATCCGTTCTTTACATCTTCCTGGTTTTCTGAGCTATCCTGCCCACTCTCAGTGCCTATCTTCTCATACCTTTCCAACGAACAAAATGAATTCCATGTTCAACTCCGTTATGTTTCCTTTCCAAAATACTTTCCTAAAGTGGGAGTATTTTCCCCCAGTTCTGTTACATATGTGTGAAAGCAACAATATAAATTTAGGGAAAGGGTAAAAAAAATCCTCTTGTTCAGTTTAAAAGTTCAGACAAAGCCTAGACTGTTATACCCAAATGCAGAACCCACAGCCGGCCTGCCCTGATTTCTGAAGATTGTGGTCATGGTGGGAAAGGAGTAAGGAGACAGAACACCCTGCTAAAGGTTGTTATCATCCCAGACATCGTCCTGTACCTACAGAGAACATGCCCTTCAGAAGTTCTCAGCGATGTATCTCTGTGCCCTCCCTCTTTTCTCCCTCACAGCCTCTTAGTGCAGATATCTGTTTACAGCACACAGCTGAGTCCCAGAAGGAAGGCGCTAAGGTGAACAAGGCGCTGCTTGGGATCAGATGCCCCTCCTTTTAGTTTCCTAACTGCAGTTCTTCTCACAACTCAGTATTGGCTACAGGGGCTTGTTTTGGTTAGGGCCCAGTCCAGGGCTTCCCTCTCAGTGCTCATGCACTGAGAACACTGACTCAGTGGCAAATCCAAGCAGCAGCTGTCCCCACTTCCTCCTCTGCCACCCACTTCCCAGTCTTTTGCTCCTCAGAATCTTAAGTCTCAGAGGGCCCCCCTCAAGCCTACCTCAAGCCCACTCTGCCTCCAGATTTTTCTCTGTAGCTCAAGAATAGGACACGCTCCTCTGCTTGTCCCTTTCATCTCTTCTACCCCCCCCCCCAACTTCACAATTAAGTTAGCATTCGCCTGGGTGTGCACAGTGCATGTTCCAACAGGTTGATGCAAGCCACACTCACATGCATGCACACAACACCAACATTTATTTTCATAACTACCCTTTTCGGTTCCTAAGGCCACAGTAGTGATTTCTGCCCTTCAAGTTCCTTTTATGGAAACTGGAATTTGTTGGTAAGGCCTGACATTTGAAAAAGCTTTGCCATCTGGCACAGCCTCAGAGACTTCTTCCTCATCTTACCCCAACTTCTCTGACCTGTTAGCAGACTTACTTCTCTTGAGGTTTGGGATCCCACATATAGATATCACGGGAGGGGAAAAAGTCACACTTAAGGGCTACATGGATGTCTATGAAATAATAATTGATATTAAAGGCCAGAGTTATAACCATAGCTCCCACTAACTACCTGAGTGACTTATTCAAGTTCCTATACCTATCTGGACATTAGTTTCTTATAGTTAAAATGAGAGACTGGGAGGATGTGGCTCAGTGGCTTGATCTACATTACTGAAAAATATGCATGCTCACACACATCAGTACCCATAACATACACACACATGCATGTATGCTAACACAACAGGACTGAACATACACAACAGAAACAACAGGACTGAACTAAGTGCTTTGTAAGATCTCATCAGCTCTAAAAGCCTATACTTCTGAGAGTCAGAGGTGAAACTATTTTGGGTGATTGAGATTTAACAGAAAGAGAAGAAGAATTATTGAACTTTGGCAACAGAGCATCAGAAAGGGTATTAGTTCCATTATGCCTGATAAGAGTCAAAGATCTTGGGAATAACCAGCTCTGGCCATTAGGGGTCAGTAGAAAATACTGACCAAATATACAAATTGCATGGCTTTAGGAAACACATATATTTCTTCAGGCTATCAACATTTTATAGCTTTTTCTTAATGTTTAGATATAAAAAATGATTTTGAATGACTGGATTTTCATTTTCTTTTTATATTAATGAGTCTAGAGAGTTAACATCAAGTTTTTCATTTTAAAAACTTCATTTTTATAACATTTTTAAATCCTCTATAGGCAAGCTAGCCAACTATCCCAAAGATGTTTTTCCTTACAGATCATACCATTTAGCCTGGAAAAGCCTAATCACACACCATTCCATGCCCAGCAAATGAAAACCTTTCCTTTTCAACCTGCAGAGGATAGAACCAGAAAGATACCTGTGAAATACACTATAAAACCTGGCTGAGCCAAGCATCGTGGCACACACCTTTAATCACAGTACTAGGGAGGCAGAGGCAGGTGGATCTCTGTGAAATCGAGACCAGCCTGGTCTACAGAGTAAGTTCTAGGCTAGCTGGGGCTACAGGGATAGCGTGTCTTACAAACAAAACAAATCAAAAAAAAAACCCTGTTGCAGCAGGGCATGTTGGCACACATCTTTAATCCCAGCCTCCAGAGGTAGAAGCAGGAGTATCTCTGTGAGTTCAAGGCCAGCTTGGTCTGCATATTGAGTTCTAGTCAGCCAGGGCTACATAATGAGACCTAGTATCAGAAAAGGGAGAGGGGCTCCAGGTGGTGGTGGTAGAGCTCAACAACCTCTGAGTCCAGACTAAGTCCTTCCTAACCTGAATCTCAGGATGATCTCATAGTGGGGTGGGGATTCTGCAAATCTTTGATATCTGGTTCAGGCTTTTTCAAACTAAGGGGTTAATTAGCATGACAGGAACTTCCTAAGGGGAAGACTCTGCCCCTCCCAACCCCCATCAATTTCCACTGACATCTTGCTTTGCCTCTTAAGAGAACACAGCCTGGCCTAGAGAGAGTAATGACTTTGGGCCCAAGAGGCTGCTTGGCAAACAAGACTCCAGGAGGCAAAAAAAAAAAAAAAAAAACAACCCAGACAGCACAGACAGCAACAGAAATAATAGAGGGAGGGACAAGGACACCCAGTGACAAGAAGAGTGACAGGAAAACAGGGGGAGGGAGGCCACGATCAGAAGGCTGCAGCTGAGGCATGACCGAGTTCTGAAGCTTGGAAATGATTATGAGTGGGAGCTGTGGAAAGGGGGCCCTTGAGGACTGCCTGGTAGGACAGAACCTCATCCTAAAGAAGATAGGAGGAAGCCCACCTGAAAAGACAGAGGGGCCCAGAACACAGAATGACCTCCATCTCTTCCTGCCTAGCCTCCCTCTGACTGCTGCTGTAACATCACATGTATTAGAGAACAGGGATTTATGGAAGAACAGGCAAAGTGAGACAAGGATGGAGGGGAAGAAGTAAGAGACTGTTTTGGCACTCAGATCATCAGAGTCTTGGACTAGACACCGAGGGGTGACTTCAGTAAATGTGGTACAGTTGTGACTGCCGAATATCAACTGTACAATGTTAAGTGTAAAAAGAATCCTTCATTATCTGGGCTGTTTTGCTCTGAAATCAGTGACTCCCCCAAGTCTTGGAGTTATCTTCTAAATCAGGATTCAGATGGAACTGGTCCAGCTTCCTCCAAACGTACAATTGAGCATTTACTCTTAAAGAAAAACTGTGGCTCTGAACATAAGAAAAGCTCTAGGGGCCAAGCTCTAAGTCCAGTCTTGCCATGGACATTCTCTTCTGTGTGACCCACATGTGCATAAGAATTTACCAAGAAGCTAGAGTTAGAGTTAAAGCAAAAGGTCTGGGAGCCTAACAGTGAGCCTCCTGATGGCTGGTACTCCATTCTAAAAGCAAGTTTCTTCAGTATTCTGGGCCACAGGCCCCAGCATGTTTTTCCCTTGGAGATAACACTCCTCCACCCACCTGTCGTGGTAGTCGTGAGGAATAACAAGTAGGCTGTGATGAACATTATTTTTAACTCTAGAGTTAGAGAAATGCTGAGTCATCATCATCATCATCACCATCACCATCATCATCAACTCCTACTCAGGAAGCTGTTTGTTTTTCTAGACTCAGGGAAATGGGGCTCCGGACACTAGTACCCGTGAGGCCAGCAGTGATCACGTGGCAGAACTTTGTGCCTTTGTCCCACCCACCATCCTGATGTGCACCTGCTGCACTGTTGTTAGCTCTACTGCCAATACACTGTAGATGCCCAAAGCAAACAGGGCAGAGAAGATACATAAACCAAGCAATCAAGGGTGATGCTGATGATATTCTCATGACTTCCCTACCAGTCCCCTAAATTTCAGACGTAATACATTTCTATTTATTTGAGTAACTCACTTATTTATTCAGCCCTTCCTATATGTGAGGTCCTGTACTTGCAATGAAAAACTGGATCATGGGTGTCGATGCATGCTTTGAAGAGAGGCACATTAGTGAGTCTACAATTCCCACCTCTGCTACTCCTAATATGAACAATCAATCAGTGGGCGAAAGGGCTACTTTGTCCCTTAAAATGCCAAGAATCCTAAGGATACCAGAACCCATTGGTAAATAAAACAAGAAATAAGAAACACCCAAAGCAACTGAAAGCCAACATGATAACCTTTTAGTTTTAGCTTAGGTGCTAGCATGTTATGAAAACATAAGGAGATTTTGTTCATTTTAAATAAACACATCTGTTGTCTGGTTAACTGAAGAGTCCCACACTGTAAGGCACTTGGGGGTAGACAAAATAGGCCTCAAAGTATAGATGAAGACACATTACAAAATCCAACTAAAAATGTGATTCTTTGGATACCAATCGTAGCATCACTACCACCACCACAAGCACCCATTTCTAACCTGCTGTTTTTATCATTGTGCAGGTAAGTCTTGTGAATATTTTTAGGTAAGCGATCCCTGACCAGCAATGTAAGAAAAGGAATCTTCCCTGCTCTATTCCTAACCCTACCACACCTGAGGCAGTAGAGGGGAAAGATACAGAAAGCTTGGACTCCGTGGTCAGAAAGATCTATGATTAGAGACTGTCCGACCTTAACCATAGATGCATCACATAGACAAGTTTCCTAAGCGAATGTGTGCATAACAATACATTCCAAGAGCGTGTTTGGAATAAGTGCGTGTGGGCTGTTTAGCTTGCATCTTGACATACAGAGAGTGCTTACAAATACCAAGTCCTGTCTTCTAGATTAGAGTTTCCA